ATCATAGACATAGTATATCTAGACCGAGTGTTGAGGAGTGGGAGCCGAGGTGCACGTAGAAAAGGACATACTCTGTTTCGTGCCCCTTGCGTTCTCTCTCGCTCGCACGTAGCATGACGAAAGAGAGCGCTATGCTCTGTGCGAGCGAGAGAGAACGCAAGGGGCACGAAACAGAGTATGTCCTTTTCTAGTGGGCATCGGCCCCCGCTCCTTAAATAAAGGCAAACGCTCGGTCTAGATATACTATGTCTATGGTATAAACAAAGGTTGATTAGAACAGGGTGTACATAATTATCTGCAGATGCGAAAATCCAAGAAACGACGAAGCCCGGTACACGTAGCGTCTCTGATGGAACTATAGTATACTGAAGTGAGAGAGAGAGAGAGTTCTCCCTTATTTTAATTTTATTTATGAATTTAAACAGCGAAGTTAAAAATGATATTATGAATTATTTATTTTTCTTTTAATTCGTAAAATATATATAAAGTCAATATTTTTGACTACAAAATTAAATAGTATCAACTAATCAGCGAATCTCTGACAAAGATAGCAATCCATCCAGTATGTATATATCCTTTTCTACGAATTGAATCATTCTCCATTTTTGAAGACTCATTCCAGTATGTATGTATGTATAAAGCTCAAAATGACTCAAGCGAGACAAATATATATATGTATATTGGGGCGTTGGAGAGGGAGAGGGAGAGAGAGAGAATGAGAGAGTGAGAGAGAGTGAGTGAAAAGAAACCGAATGTAGAAAGTGCAAGTAACATGACAGTTTACTCCACTTTCTGGAAACTTGAAAACATAACCTGAAAGCTGAAACTATAACTTCGCCTGTTAGTATATATTGCTGGAGACACTTTAAAACGCATAAAAAAAAAGATTGCGAAAAATTTACTTATTTAAAACTGTATGAATTATATGTAATGTGTGTGACAAACATAGCAGTTAAAACTGCAGGCACGTGACTGACAAGTGATATTATAGAAAAGTACTAGGTCTATACTAAAAATCGGTATTAAATTTTTTATTAGCAGAATTTATTGCTTATGAACAAAAATATTTGACATTTATGTCGGTTGTCAATCTTTCTATAATCTCGCAATTCTAATACAGTAGTCGCAATCATGTCAAGCACAAAGGTAAGAGAGCTTGATATCAATAATAATAATAGTTGTCTATATCTAATCTTTGTGTATATTTATTTATTATTTGTGTATATATTGTATCCGCTATGTATCTACTATTTTTGCTTTCTTATTCTAGGAAGTGACAGAGTTACAAGCATTCAAAACAGTCTTATATCATAGTATAATAATACTCGCATTACCAGTGATAGCGTTCTTTACAAGCAAGGTTTTCCTCTTTGATGGTACAAAGTATACACATAATAAAATTACAACAAATCTGTGATGAAAACTATAATATAATTACCTATAAACTATTGAAAAAAAGACCATTTTTTCATTTATCTTTTTATATATACATAAAATTTTATACTATAAAATATTTTCATCGATGAATTAACTAACCAAGTTTCTGCAATTTATGTTTAGGTATATTTGGTCTCAACAATGTGCCAAGTAATGTATACTCGGCTGGTGTTGCAGTAATAGTGTTACATATTGCCTTAGGAGCATTTATATACAAAGCATATTTTGATGATCGATCAAAAACATCAGCAGTCAAGATAGATTAATCCTTTATTATTAAGTACACCTTGGTGACCATACATTTATGACATAATCACAGTCAACATATTTGTTTTGGATAGCATTAAAGTGAAATTTTGATATGCTGATACTACAGCATCTGTTAATATGATTTTTCCTCACTCTTGTTACAATTTAATTCTTGACAATTGCTATTTAATTATTATGCTATTAGCAAAATTGATAAACAATATGCTAATACATGCAATATATGTATTTATGTAAAAGCGAAAATGCCACACAGAAAAAATTTTATGTTCTAAAATTCTTTCAATATTACACAATGTTCGCAATGTGTATTTCAAATATACCGTTTGATGTTCACACAATTGTTAAACTATCACATATATATTTCCACCTGTGTGAACAAAAATACAATATAATCATGTGATGGATTTGATACGATTCTTTGCTAATAAAGTATAAATTATTATCATTTATGCAATTTCAATCTTTGAAATAATGTGACTATAGCAATACAAAGGATTACAATAATTTGTGTAGTCTTAAATTAAAGAACAAGATAGATGCCCATATTTCTCCCTTTATATAGTGAGGGGTCAGAGATCGATATTTATATTATATTATATTATGTAATCAGAATTCATAATTTTATAAATTTTGAAGACATTTATTGCATTTCAATGTAACACAAATGCATTATAAATATTGATTATTGAAATAATAAATATCGACTATGTAATTAACACAATTATTAAAATGATAATCATAACATTGTGAGAAGAAAAAAACATTTTGTTATTAACAAATTTATTTGGTTTTTTTTTATTTAACATAATTGCAAATAAAATAAAGAACGTATTATTTTTTTAAGTGTATATAATATATTACTATATACACATATAGAATTAAAATATAAATTATTAGGAATTAACATTTACGTTTCCATGAAAAATTGAATATTCAATCAATGAAACTCATCAATTGATATCTAGCAATTTCTAAATAATGATAACGAATTTTCTGGATATCATATTATTTCACCAGATATATCTCTTAAAAATAAACATGATGGTCTCTATGTTATAAATTTATCTTAATACATAAGAATCACAAAAGTAATTTAATAATATATGTGTAAAATATACAAAAACACAAAAAAGAGAAAGTTTGTTGTGGAAAATTTTATCATTTGAAGAAACAACGTATTTTTTTAACACACATTTTTTACATCTTGCTAATACTAATTATATTATACACGCGTAATTTGCGACTCTTAGTTGCTAAAAACGGTGTGGGAACAAAGTTAGGCGCGAGTGAAATATGGACTTCCGTCTATTTTCTATATTCTAGAAACAACTAAATTTTCGCTATAATTTCTATATGCTGTGAGATACAATGGCTTCCGGTTATAAGCACGATTTTTCACTCTATTGTATAAGCAAACGATTATCCCTGCTAACTCTCGAGTGAATCGATCTAAAAAGTCTTACCTGATCAGTCATCTGGCCGAGTTTAAGCTTTGATGCTGAAAGATACCTTGAGAACATGCTTACAATCAGAAGTCATTATAATATAGCAATATAAATATAGTGATAAAGAAATATACTACGTCATTGTGTAGATGTCTACAAATTATGTACAATGATATATCTAACCGAATTATCGGTTTTTGTTCAAAAAATAATTTTTGTAATAAAAACAATGGTTTGAATCAAACTAAAAAGGAGAAAAATATTAAGTCGAATTCCTGTAACATCTTTGTCGATGTCTATTCCAAATATTAAAGCAGATTTGGCAAAATCTTGATTAGTGAAATATTAATTTATTTCAAGTAAATATTATTTCAAAAAAACTATTATAAATGCAACAAGAAAACTTGTGACAGAGTATTTGCTGTCGACCGTATGAGAAAATATTGGAATGAATAATTATTATAAATTAAATTTAATAATATTATTAAAAACAAAACATCAACAGAGCAACATTATCTAGTTCACAATTTAGTTTGGTCAATTAGATCTAATATAGCTTGCATTCTATATGTTAAAAGTTGCAGCATATGTTTCATTATTCTTTTTACTGGCAATAGTTTTGAGGTTTCTTTTTCAAGTATTCATCCAAAAGCAGTTTTATGTATGCATTTTAAAAGCGTTACTGAAAACTTAAACGAGATATTTTTTTTTTTAAAGTAAGAGTTTTATTATTTTGCTTTTTTTTAGGACGCTTACGCTTCTTCTTTGTTCAGACAGCAATTATATCTACGATACCTTTTTCAAACGAGAGAACATTTATTGTTGTAGTGCACATTCGTTTGTAAATTCCAATTCTTTACTTTTTCAATACGCTCACGCTGTTTATGGTAATGTGTCATTAAATAGTTCAGTTCACCAGATTGATAGATGTTACAGACAGGGGGAGGAAAAAAAAAGGAGCAAGAAAGACAATCATGTGTGCAATCCGACTATGGTATGTCAGGCGCTTGCGAGACATGATAAATATGTTTTATCCAAATATGAAAGATTCGCTATTTCAATTATAGATTAGATTTAATATATTATTAAAAACACATAAGTTGTGGTGACCGTTACTCAATGTCCATCTTCTCTTCATCCGCTTGCTGTTGATTGGGCTGATTGTGATTGTTACCTTGGGCATTTTGATTCTGATTATTCTTCTGTTCATCGGCCGATTTGTCTTTCCGCTTTTCCTCCTTTGGCGGCTCAACTTTAGGTTTAGGCTTGTTGAGGATAGGTAATACCACGCTGTCCAATGACTGTGATCAGGTGACAAAAAAATTAATATATTGACATTATGTTGCAGGAAAACATCTATGCGATTACAATCGATACTTTTTTTGATACGTACTTGTTTCTCGGCACGGATTTGCGCCACGGTGACTGGCGGTTGTTGCGTACGGAGCAAACTCGCAAGCAGCATACGCTTCTCCTCCAACCATGTCCATTTCTCTTGTACCGTTTTCTCAACCGTTTTCACTTCTTCCTCCGTTAGGTGAGAATATTTATCGTCTTTACCAATTGACGCTTTTATCTGATCAAGGCCTTTTTTAGCCAGTTGTAATGCTACTGCTAATTCTTCTAATGCATGAGACCTCCCTTCGAATTCTAATCTCCTTTCTTTTATTGGTTCTCCTTGAGACTAATAAAAAGAAGATATTTTAAAAAGATTCTGATTTATAAAAATAAAAGAAAGTTTTGAAAAATTAAGAGAAAGAAAAACTTTTTTATTAAATAAATGATTATATTAGCGCTGTTCTCTCTTTCTCGATCGAATGACATACTTTTAAGCGCGTTAATCGCTCGGAGTAAATCTGTCGTTGGCAATCTTCTCCTTCTTCATACAGCCAATTTTCAGTGTCATCTAATGTACGATACAATGATTCCTTATCCACTTCTGTGATGAATGTAGCTAATTGATTCTCTTCGGACAATTTAGCACGTAGATCGTAAACGTATTCTTCTAAAGCGTTACGCGCGTCAACTCGTTCTTTTTCCTGTTTATCCTCGGCGATCATTTTGCCCTGTTCGCGAACAAAATGCATGAAATTACATAATGATCCAATGTCATACAGATAAGCTTTTCCGCTATAATTGAAGACAAGTTGATGTAACGTTTATACAAGGTAACATAAGTTACATAACGTCCGAGCAATATACACATTGAATGCTACATACCTCTTTTTCTACTGCAGCATCGAGATCTCGTAGAGATAATCCGCAAACATTAGCTTCAATAGGCAAGTCAATTGTACGAATTGGAATCTTCTTCTTGCCTTTATCGTCGCCTTTATCATCTCCCTAAAACAGAAAGAATTTATCAAAAATTTAACACATTTTTTTCTCCGCACTTGCGTTTTTGCGCACAAACCTATAATGAAAAGTTCGTTTACAAGAAAGTTTATTCAATTATTTATCTTATAGTCAATTTTAACAATTCAGAATACAATTTCAGAATTTAGTGCATAAAATATATACTTTTGTGTGTGTGTATATTTGTACAGATTAAAAAATTTTATTTTTATGAGCATTTATTGCAATACTTTCTTGAAACGCTTTTTTTTTGTTTTTATCATAATTTTATAACATTTTCAAGTATATATTTAATGTAAGAATGCTGAACCAAGTGAACCAAATTTATATGAGAATGAAGAGAACTAAACTGGAATTCAGATGATGACAAATATGAGGCAAAGATAATGGGGTACACTTTTAGGTGTGTGCACAGTTTTGAATTCGTATAGTGTCTCATTTCAAAAGAGATAGAATAATAGTAAATCTTTTTATAATCTTTCTTTTTACGTAATATAATATAATATAATATAATAAAAATAGATCGTTGCACACTTTTCTATACGAATGGAAAACTGATCAGCGTTGCCTGCCTTTACAATTTAAGAATATTCATATGGTGTGTACACTAATGCTTTTATCAGGTATCACTGTCTCTTTTCCTTCTGCGACCTAGTATGTAGAATAGTAGAGCAAGACAGACAGCACGGCATGACACTGTTCTTGGACCCATATGCATTAGCAAAACGATTGTCAGAATTAAATAATATCATGAACTATGCAATGTTACTTCATATTTCATGAAAGAGCACAAGCTTAATCTTTTTCTAGATTCTTATGCCGCTCGATAGCCGAGTTTGCAGAAGAAATCGACACAGGGTTTAAAATTCTATGGTTGAGCCAAACGTCATGCATCTTGCATAAGTAGAACTGAAGAATCGTAACAGTTCATAAAGACCTAACTGGACTAAATACGATACACAAAACACTGGTTGCACTATGCATTTCAATAAAAAACGATGTGCACAAGAGCAAATGACAAGCTTCTAAATTCTAAACGTAACTAATTCTAAGAACAATTGTATTATAAATGAAATAAATATATATAATATCAAGGCCATAAAAAAAGGACAAATTTCTCTCACAATTGCTTTACAAAAAGGAGAGTAAAGAATGCTGGTTCAAATTAATCACTAGAGAAACAAAATATGTAAAGATGCATTTGGTGTACTCAATTGACAAGTGTATCATTTGCATTATATAAAGCGATTGCGATTACTGTGCACTCATCTTTAAGATGAGGTGACTGTGACAGATTGAGTTTTGCCTCAAGGTGAATGACAAGACGTCTAGCATGATAGAAAGCAAAATCTAAATTATTCGGCCCTAATTTATGAAGGATGCTCACAATAATACTATTAACAAAACAATGCCAACAATTAAGCTTAAAATTTAGTGTACACATATGTCTCAATATGAACATATGCGTATGGGTCCAAGAGTAGAGATAATATGCCCCGTACCGAGCTGAACCAAGAGAGAATCCTGGAGGAGTAGGAAGGGGCAGAACCCCTAGCACTTTTTCCACCATCATCAGCATCTGAGTTCCGTCGTGTCTTATCCATGCTCACCTAAACCACAATAAACTCACATGATCATGCACCTGAACACTTTGGTGATGTGTAACATTGCACATCAGCATAGAATTTCATTCCAAATTTTTCATACTCTGTATATTATGATGTAATATTTTCTAATGAATCGAATGAATCGCGATATTATGGTATGACACTATCATTAACCCTCCTTTTGTCACTATCCAATTTTTAGAATATAATAAAGTTACAAACCTCTGGAGCTGGGGGTTCGTTTGCTTGTGCTTCTTGATCGGATTTATCTTTTTTATCTGCCGAATGTGAATCAACATCCATATTATTCTGTTGCTGCTGCTGTTGTTGCTGCGCCTCTTCTTCTTCTTTCTCTTGTTGAGTCGGCTCGCGTTTTTCGATAAGTGATGCCGACGCGATAGTCAAAATACCGTTCAAATTCACTCTTACCTTCACCTTAACTTTCGCCGATTCTCCCTCTGGTGTGGCTTTTACATTCTTTATTGTGAATGTTCCTACATATAAACAGATATGAGTATAAATTAAATATATGTGACATTATTTTAAATACATGCCAACATATTTTTCATCATTTTTTAAATCTTTACAGATAAAACAAAATTATTTCAAAATGAGATAAACAAAAATAAATCTGCATACCAATGAATGATTGAGGATAGCATGGAGGTAGTATACTGTAACTGGCAGTAAGCGTAAATGGATTCGAACGGTAAAACGTCAACATCTTCGAGAATGGTACAGGATGATTATGCCCAAACACTTCCATTTCACTGAAATATTAAGCAAAATTAGGAGAAACAGTCGATTTTCATTAACGGTAATACAGGATAATAGGAATTACGCGATACATACCCCTCTTCACCTTGAGTAGCATCCCATGTTAGTTTCAAGGGATACGGCTGTATATCTGTAACCGAAAATTCACGAACGCGAACAGCAGGGCTGAGCATAGCGCATTGCAACGCGCAACCACGAGCGACCGCTTCATCCTGATTCAGAGTTGTCGATATCGGTCGACCAAAGACTTCCTCCACTAAACGTTTGATAGCAGGAACGCGGCTCGATCCTCCCGCTATCTCGACCGCATGAATTTCTTCCGCCTTCAATTCTAGTAAGCATTTGTCGTTAATATACAAGGTCAATGTGACTGGATAAATCGCGCATTTAAAAAAAACGTATCATTCGCCAAAACTTACTCGAATCTACTAAGCATTGCTTCAAAGTTTTTTCGACGCGATCAAATAAATGGGCGCATAGCGTTTCCATCTCGTTACGATTCATTTGGGCATGTACGTCTTTCTCTTCCATAAAGCATTCGATATTTAAGGGAAGGTTGGTCGAATTAGCCGACATTTGTTTCTTCAGTTTCTCGGCTTCTGCCAACAATCTTAAGTATGCTCGCGGATTGGTGTGTACGTCAATATTGTATCGCGTTTTAAATTCTTTAGAGAATTGTTCTGCCAAAATAATGTCGATATTTCTTCCACCCAATTGAGAATCAGCAGTACTTGCCAACATCTTCAAAATAAAAAAAAAAATTAAAATAAAATAAAATAATAATAATTGGGCGTTTTTTTTTCGGGATATAACACAAAGAAAAACGATTTTTTGTAATAAAAAATTATGTAATATACTGACCTTAAGTTTGCCTTTATGAAAGGCACAAACGCTCACTTGTAAGCTAGCATTACCGCAATCCACAAAAACAACATTTCTAGGAGGTGCATCTACTGCTGGTAAATCCTGTTTATAAATACCATAACAAAGAGCAGTAGCAGCGGTCTCGTTAAATAATCTTAGAACATTAAGGCCTGCGATCCTAGCAGCATCAAGTAGAGCTTGACGTTCAGTTTGAGTAAAATATGAAGGAACTGATATAACACAATCGTTAACAGCAGTTTGTAGAGCTGTTTCAGAAATATCTTTCAACTTTGTAAAAAGCATAGCAGTAATTTGTTCTGGTGAAAAAACGTGCTCTTCTTCCAAGTATTGTACCTAAAAAAAGATGGTAAAACAACTTTTAACAAAATATAGAAATTGACATATATTATATTTAAATGTGCTCTTTGATAATGCATTATTTTATTCCGGATAACATATAGTAAGCAATATTAATGTGTATGAATCATCCTAAAAAGATATAAATAAGATATGAGTCTTTCCAGAAATGACAGTCTTGGCAAACTGCCCAGATTGCTCTTGATTCTTGATCATTGAATTATATGAAAGAAATTATAATTATAAAAATATTAAACAAATTTCTGTTGCAAGTGTTTCTTTTTCACTTCTTTTCATATGGATGCATTTTATGTGTAAAAGAATAAATGAAAACTATATAATGAAAGAGAGAATAATCTTCCTTCTTTTTTTTCATATTTTCTGTTAAGATTTACAAACATATATGTATAATCTCAAATATCTTTATAAAGCATTGAAGTTATAGGGATTCACAAGACCACCCTCTTTAATGTCTGATATGATACTTACATGTATGCCAATGCTTCCGTCAGCTTGTGGAGTTACTTTGTAGGGAAGGGATCGCAGCTCGGATTGAACTTGCTGATCATTGTATTTTCTACCTAATAATCTTTTGAAACCGTGGATGGTATTCTTCACATTAGTCACCATCTGATTCTTGGCAGCTACTCCAAGTATTCGATTTTTTCCACTGAATGCCACACATGATCTAGGATCATCATAACATTATTTTTTACTTTAATGATATATTCAGTCTCAAAATTATATATATATATATATATACACACAATATAATTTATACGAATATTTGTATTTTAGATTTATTTCATATTATATAAGACAATTACTTCAGAGTTATACAGGTTATACATATACATATATATATGTGCTTCTAGAAAACTTTATTCCTTGGCCTAGCCCATGTTTGGGCAGATAAAGACCATGTGATAATTACTTATCTAATTTGTGATATAAATTACTCTTTAATCACATAATACATATATATAAAATATTCAAGGATATATATGCACATAATAGAAACGTTGAAAGGTTAAAGTATCAATTTCTTAATCACTCTGTCTTATATTCACATTATTATCGACACGCATGATATCTTTGTACAAAATTAAAAATATTTTCTCTTTTTTTCAAATCATATAATAAATATTACATTATTACATGCAATGTAATATACATTGCAATATACAAGAAGCACATACAAATGTTATAAGAGAAAATAAGATATTCGTGAATAATTGAAAATCGTTCAGAATTTGAAAAAATTATTTTTTTGCGACATATATATTCTCTCTCTCTCTCTCTCT